TGTACTTACAGTAGTGCTGGGAGCTGTGAGTCTAGTGATTACTGTTTGGACTGGAGCCCCACACGTCACCTTTCGGGGGGGGGGGAAGAAGGAGGGGAAGGGATAGCGGGAGCTAGACTTACCTTACCTTAACAAGTAGCCGGCAAGCAAACTATCACTTTTGGGGAGGGGGAAAAACGGCGGGAATAGCCGGAGCTTGACTTACCTTACCTTAACAAGTAGCCTGCAATGAAACTATTGTTACTATATACTCCCTTGCTACTCCTATCTGTTGAACTTTTTCCTCACAGTCATCATGGACTTGGCATCCCTAGTTTGAAGGTTCTCATTATCCATCCTGTCATTTTTCTAGCAGATGCAAATGATAGTGTTATTGTCTTTGAATGTGAGATCCTCTGACATATTCACTCCCAGGTCTTTTACACGAATTTTTCGCTCTATTGTGTGGTTGAAATTTGTTTTATAATCCTATGTAGTTTTAATTTCCTCACGTTTTCCATATCGGAGTAACTGAAATTTCTCATCATTGAACTTCATATAACTTTCTGTGGCCCATTTAAAGATTTGGTTGATGTCCGCCTGAAGTCTTCCAGTGTCTTCAATGGTGGACACTGTCATGCAAATTCGGGTGTCATCTGCAAAGGAAGACACGGTGCTGCGGCTTACATCCTTGTCTATGTCAGATATGAGAAACAGGATGGGAGCGAGTACTGTGCCTTGTGGAACAGAGCTTTTCACCGTAGCCGCCTCAGACTTTACTCTGTTTACTATTACTCTTTGTGTTCTATTTGTTTGGAAATTATAGATCCATCTATCAACTTTTCCTGTTATTCCTTTATCAAGCATTTTGTGAGCTATTACACAATAGTCACACTTATCAAAGGCTTTTGCAAAGTCTGAGTATACTACATCTGGGTTTGTCTTCTAGATCATCCAGGACCTAGTCATAGTGGTTCTGTAGTTGGGACATACAGAAGCGACCAGCTCTAAACCCATGCTGCCCTGGGTTGTGTAACTGATGGGTATCTAAAAGGGTGACATCTTGCTTCTTAGGACCCTTTCAAAGATTTTTATGATATGGGATGTTAGCACTATTGGTCTGTAGTTCTTTGCTTTTGCTTTACTGCCCACTTTGTGGAGTGGGGCTATGTCTGTTGTTTTTAGCAGCCGTGGGACGACCCCTGTGTCCATGCTCTCTCTTATAGGATGTTCAAAGCACATGATAGGGGCTTCTTGCAGTTCTTGATGAACACGGAGTTCCACGAGTCTGGGCCTGGGAAAGAGTGCATGGGCATGTCATTTATCTCCTTTCGAAATCCTTTGGCGTCAGGATAATATTAAATAGGTTCGAGACTAACAAATTGTGTCTCTCTCTCTCTTTAAAAAATCATTAAGGTCATCGACTCTGTCTGGTTAGCGGCTCACTAAAAGCCGAATCATATTGGGACTTGAGTAGCTCACTCATTTCCTCTCGTTTAAAGTAAGAGCCAGTAATGGATGTTGTTCTCGACTTTGATTTGGCATAAGAAAAGATATATTTTTGGGTTTCTTTCAATTTCTTTTATGACTTTTAGTTCTTCCTGCGTATCTTGGCTCTGTGAGATTCCTTTAATCTTCGATGATTGCTATTTCTCTGACCAGTGTCTCCCTATGTATTACGGATATATTAGCCGCTCTGTTATTCTTAGTCTTCGCCTGTATAGGGAGCGCCTTTCTCTTTCTAGTTTACATCTTCACCTCCTTTTCCTTAAAGGAATATACCTTGAGCATACCTCGAGTGCCACAGAGAATGTTCTAAACATAGGTTTGAATCCGTGTTGCTCAGGATATCTTCCCAGTTTATATCACTTAGGGCCTGGTTTACTTGGTCACACCGTTTGTTTTTGTTATTGAAGTTGAATTTGGTGAAGGCTCCCTCATAATTGATCACATTTTGTCAGTCTGGGGCCCCGTACATACATGTCTGTACCTCCATTATGTTGTGATCTGAGTATATTATTTTTGATATGGTAATATATCGTATCAGATCATCATTGTTAGTGTAGATGAGGTCCAGCATATTCTCTAATCTTGTAGGCTCTATTATTTCCTGGTTTAAGGTGAATTTGGTACAGAGAGTTAAGACTGTGTGTGTGTAAGGTTTCATCTGAGCTGCCACCTGGTGTTATCTCTGCTATAACATTATTTGCTGCATTCCTCCATTTTAGGTGCCTTAGGTTGAAATCCCCCAGGAGCAAGAAGTTGAGGGCAGGAACTGGAACATTTTCCAGAAAGTGATCAATTTTCAAAAGCTGTTCCTGGAATTGTTGAGAAGTTGCATCCGGAGACTTGCATACAACCACAATGACCAGGTTTTGTTTCTCGATCTTTACTGCCAAAATGACTCACGAAATCGTAATGACACAATTGCAAACAAACCATACCCCGGCCGGAATTGAACCCGCGGTCAGAGAGTCTCAAAACTCCAGACCGTCGCATTAGCCACTAGACCAGCTAGCCACAATAAGATTCGTCCAACTAGGTATATTTCTACACCATAGGAAGGTTAGCACAGGCACCACTGTGACCACAAATGCAAGTTTTTACAGGCGAATCTCCAGCTAGAGTTCGTCACGGCCACGCTAGCTGGAGATTCGTCTGTAAAAACTTGCATTTGTGGTCACAGTGGTGACTGTGTTAACCTTCCTATGGTGTAGAAATATACCTAGTTGGACGAATCTTATTGTGGCTAGCTGGTCTAGTGGCTAACGCGGCGGTCTGGAGTTTTGAGACTCTCTGACCGCGGGTTCAATCCCGGCCGGGGTATGGTTTTTTTACTGCCAAAACTTCGGCTACATCATTTGAGGCATTTAGTAGTTCTGAGTATATAAGTGACTCTGTGAAGTACAGGCTAACACCTTCCTTTTGCCTGTTCACTGTGTCGCATTGGTATAGGTTGTAACCCGGGATCCATATTACATTGTCCTACTGATCCTTTATGTGGGTCTTTTTGAAAACCATGAGCATTGCATTTGACTCTGTAAGCATTCCACTGATGAAAGGTATTTTGTTGTTCATTGCTGGCATTAGACCCTGTATATTTGCAAAGAAGAATGTCATCAGATTGGTGGTGTTGGTGGTATGGGGGGAGGGGCATTTTTTCCTAACACTAATATCTGTTGTGGAGTGGAGGCCATCAACCGTGATTCCACTCCCAAAATTATCGGAGTTTGTATACTATTTCCGTCATTTCCTGCCAGCTTTTTTTTCCTTCCTAGTCCTAAAATGCATCTCTCTCTGGAGTGGTTGTGACTACACACGTTTTTCTATTCCCTCTCTCCCCTTCCCCTCTCTTCCTTTCCCACTCTCCCCCCTATCCTTACCCTTATCTCTCTTCCCCTATGCCACTGCCTCCCCCTCCCACTCTCTACCCTCTCCCCCTCCCATTCTCTATCCATCTCCCCCCTCCATACCTCCCTCCCCTCTCCCTCTCTCCAACCACCTCCACACTCCTACATGCACAAACACACACGTGTACACGCACACACACACACACACACATCACAAACGACCACACAAAAGCACATAAGTTTTTCTTACTGTGGTGACCCAAAAAAAAAAAAATGGGTTCCCAAAGAGCAGGACAGAGAACCAGGGGACTGGTGGATGAACCTGGGAGGGGAGATTAGGTGGCAGAGCTCATGAAAAGGGAGGAAGAGTGGGAAGGAAACTAGAAGAGCTTAGCAAGAAAATGAAGGAGAGAACAACTGCAAAGAACACTAAATAGGAGCTACAAGTCACAGCAGCAGAAGCTATGATACAGAGCTTAGAAGAGGAACTAAAAAATTTGAAACAGATGAAAGAGCCAAAAAATATTAGACATGACATCAGGAACTGGAAAAGCTGAGGACTGCTAAGCACAGGGGCATCAGATAGAGAAGAGATCAAGGAAGGAACACTGCAATGGAGGCAACTAAATCGACTCAGAGGATGCAAAGGAAATGCAGTGGGAGGATGAAAGGTGAGTTTTTGTTTAAGGGTTCCAGGAAATTGAAGGGGAAACTTATGAAGCAAGAAGACAGGGGAAGAAAAAGGTGATGGAAAGTATCATGAAAACAATACAAGAAGGTATAACAAAGTTAACAAATTTTCTAAGAGTAAGGTGGTTTGCAAGAGGAAAAAACTGCCAGTCAAAGTGATTTTCAAGGCAGAATCGGTTCGAAACAGGATCCTGCAGGAGAAAGGGACACGCCTTTGTACCGGAGAGTGTACCTTGATCTCGACAGAGCACAAGAGAAAAGGTAGAAACTGAAAGAGGGGGTACAAAGATGCAAGGACAAAAGAGAGGCAAAGACAGAGATGAGCAGGAGAACCCAGATCCAGGAGGAGGAGCAAATACAACTTCCCTCAGAACCACCTACAGAAGGACTTCAACCACGATAAACCCAATGCAACCAGGCAATCTAAGCCAAAATCTACGCACCGAACCCGCTGCCCCCACCCCCTCATCAAAAACTCCACCCCCACAGTAAGCCCCCATAGTTCCTTCTTAGGTTTCTCACTCCCCCAACTCCAACATTCTCCCCAGGCCTCAGTTTTAGAAAAGAAGTTGAAGGTTTGGTATATGAATGAAGATGGAATAACAAATAAATGTGAGAAGTGGCTTGAAAGAATCAAGGACTCATCATAGCACACACAGAAATGACTCACTGTGATAACATGAAATCTTCCCACTCGAATATCAGATCCTGAGGAAAGAGGGAGCAGAGTGGAAGGAGGAGTTGCACTGCTCATTAAAAACTGATGGGGACTTCATTAAATGGAAGAAATTGACGAAATGGGCGAAAGGTACCAAATAGTAGATACAATTCAGTCTGGAGGACATAAGGTAGTCATTGCAGTAATGTACAACCCGCCACAAACCTGTAGGAGGCGAAGAGAAGAATATGAAGAGGGCAACAGAGCAATGGTGGACATATTAGCTGAGGTGCCCAGAAGATCTGACATGGGGGTCCCGAAACATGGAGAGCCAAGATGGTGGATGTGGTAATGGAAGATCTCATGCATGAACATGTTAGGGACACTACCACAAGAGAGAGAGGAGAGAGAGAGAGAGAGAGAGAGAGAGAGAGAGAGAGAGAGAGAGAGAGTAGAGGAGGATGAACCAGCAAGGCTGGACCTCATATTCACTCTAAGCAGCTCGGACGTCGAGAACATCACATATGAAATGTCCCTCAGAGCTAGTGATCACGTGGTTCAGAGCTTAGAATATGCAGTAGAGTTATAAGTGGAGAGGGTAACATGAGTAGGATGGGAAAAGCCAAACTACAAAAGGGATGATTACACAGGCATGAGGAACTTTCTGCAGAAGGTTTAGTGGGAAAGAGAATTGGTAGGAAAATCAGTAAACGAAATGGACTATGTAACAACATAATGCAAGGAGTCAGTGGAAAGGTTTGATCCCAAGGGCAATAGAAATAATGGGAGGACCAGAACAAGCCCTTGGCTTACCCAAAGGCGTAGGGAGGCAAAAATTAAATGTGCTAGAGAATGGAAAAAGAACAGAATACAAAGGACCCAGGAAAAAAGAGATTAGTTAAAGAGCCAGAAACAAGTAAGCACAGATAAGGGAGGCCAGCAACAATCAAACACAAAAAAGCACGAAAGAAAGTCTGACCCAAAGTTTGTATAGCCATTCAAAGGAAGACAACAGTTAAGGCCCCGGTAATCAGGCTGGGAAAGAAGGTGGGGTTCACAAAAAACGCCAAGAAGTATGTGGGAGCTCGCATTCGATTTTAGAAAGTATTTGCAGGGGAAACAGAAAGGATTTTTTGGGGCAGAAAGGGATAAACCAAAAGGGATTCCCAAACAAGTCTGGTGAAATACAACCAAAGAGAAGGTGAAGAAGTGCTAAGAAACTAGATCCTCAAAGTGGGGGGGGGCCAGACAACACTCCCCCTGGGCATGAGAGGGGAAAAAAGATCCTGTGTGTCCCACTAACAATTTTCAACAATCCTTCGAAACTATCCATTCCCTGGGTATGGAAAAACAGCAAATTTGTCCTCTTTTTAAGGGAAACAGACACGATTACTAAACAAAAAAGTGTAAATGATGTACATAGCATGAAAAGTCAGGAGAAAATTTCAGGAGGAGGTGGGGAGCAATGGAAGGGTTAAAGCTTATAAAAAAAAAAACCGCACAGACTGAGGGAAAGGAAAATTCCTTGCAAAAACCTCCTGGATTTTCTATAAAAAGGAAAAGGAAGAAAGACATGAGGGGAGGGTGGGTAGATTGCTTTTCTTGGACTGAAAGAAGGGCCTTCCCAAGGTTTTCACAAGAGATTAGTGAAAAAAGCAAAGGGATTTGGCACGCATAACAGGAAGGACCTGAAATGGTCGAAGAATCCTGACGGGATCAAAAAAGTATGGTATGTGATAAGAAATCGAAATGACACATTGCAAAAACCGGGGGTAATCCCGGCCGGGGGTAGGGTTCAGGTAGTGACGTGGTGTTAAAGGGGGTGTATGTGACGAGCGGGGTTCCACAGGGGTCAGTCCTAAAACCCAGTGCTATTTTTGTAATTGTGAATACATGAGGGAGGGAAGACTGAATGCCCCTGTTTGCAGAGAGCGAAGTTAATGAGTAAAAATTAAATGGGATGGGGATCGGCAGGATAAGGAGCCCTGGATAGGCTGGAAGCCGGGCCCACCAACTGGCATCAATTTAACCCCCGCCAAATGCAAAGTATGAAGATGGGGAAGAAAAAAAGACCCCAACAGGGGTATAGGCTGGGTGGGCCAGGATTGCAAACCTCATCAAGGAAAAAATTTTGGGGATGTGTATAATATGGGCACATCTCCGAGGCGCACATAAATAAAATAACGCTGTGCATATGGTCCCTGGCAAAAAAAAATAGCTTACGACATCTAAGCAAGGAGTCATTCACGACTTCAAACAGTGTCATCAAGCCTCTATTGGATATCACCCACCAGTAGGAAACCCACAGTGATCAAATACGTAAAGGGAAACTGGAGATAATGCTAAAGTTTGCAAAAAAGATTTTTCCCCGGAGCTAAGAGGAGGGGTTTTAGGGGATCCAGCATATGCACGAAGGCGGGTGGGATAGGGGGGAGGATACGACGATAGAACTGAGAGGAAGGAACTGAAACGTGAAAAGGGCCAAAATGTTTAAGAGATGGGATCATGGACAAGACACATCTGCAAGTTGAAATAAATGATATTGAAGAAAGGAAGTATTTCTTCAGCCTCAGAGTTGTCAGGAAGTGACAATTGGAGAGGGACCTTGTAGCGACACAAAGGGGCGGGGCCCCGGGAACTGTGACTCAAACCCCAAAAAAACCCAAAAATAGTCAAGTAAAATAGTTTGAATACGGGGTCCAGAAAGGATTCGAATCTGTCACCCGCTCAAGTAACAAGTACCACACGCCAGATCCTAGAAAATTTGGGCCCCTAGTCAGGTTGTACCCTATCCATGGGCACCAGACTTGTACTAAACAATTTAATTTCAAATTTGCCACATCACTGAATTCGAAAGAGATTTTAGAATGCTTATCATTATTTGGTTTTCTCTCAGGTCTTCTCGTCCACTGTTTTCATGAAGAATTTTTTCACGTTCGCCACGTCTTTAACTAAGCAGTAATTTCGGTGTGGGGATTTAACTATCCCGCCCTATCTTTAGGTGAGGCTAAATACACTTTCTCCCAGGTTCTAAGAGGTACAGGTTTTAGGGATTCAAACCTCCCAAAATTCAGGGGCTTTTACTGACGAGCTGTGAAGGTAATAGCAGTATGCTTTAAATGTTTTTTAGTGCAGCTATGGTATAAATGATTTCAAACATGGAAGGAGAAAGTTGATATATATTTTGGGGGGTTTTGTTAATGGACAGGCAAAACGTTGGTCAAGAAGCAGTGAAAAAAAAACAATTCACTTTCTATAACAGGGGCCCGGGATTGGGTTGGCTGATGGTTCCAGGATGTTTGCAGCTTGGGTTTACTCCCGATGGCGAACAGCTACTGGCGACCTTCGGAGTTCCTACCCCGCCCTTGTACCTTCCTGGGTCATGTACACAAGCAGTTATCATTCCGGGCCATGGGAGTATCTTTAAAGAGGGGAGTTTCTCCCCTTGATGCTCTTATCAAAAAATCTTAAATGAATTTCTCATTTGATTACATATTATATTTCCTTTTAAAAAAATATTTGACAAAAAAAAATATTAATTTTTATAAATTTAAAATTAGTTTGGAAGTGGTGAGAGTATGGAAAAAAGGTACACTCAAATTGTGACAATATTTTAATGTTTTTCAGTGACTTAAGATGGTGGCTCCCCACTATGTGGGTTTTACGAAATATTTCGCCTGTTTTGATTACGGTGATCCTGACCTTCTCAAAAAAAATCTTTGTTAAAACTTTTATTTTTGTTGACCCTCGGCAGTTTTGGGGGGAAGAAAGGAACCCATTTAAAGAAATGGTTTTCAACAAATCAGGAGACGAGTGGGGAAAGCCCTTCGTTCCTAATGACTCCCACTTTCACCTCGGGTAAGATGCTGTCTGTTCCCTCTCACACTGACAAGGCCGACGTTTTGTTTCCTTTTCTCTTCAAAAAGCTGCTAAGAAACCTTATATGTATGAAAGTAAACTTCGGGGTTGTTTACAATGGACACCATTGCTTCCTGCGCTTTGGGATTGATGTGTTCCCCTTTTTGAAAGGAAAAAAAGAGTTTGCCAAAAACAGAAATATTCTTTGTTTTTATTCATAAAAACCATTAAAAATAGTCTTTTAAATATTTCCCCCAAAGGGTTTTTAACAGTCTGAGGCTAAAAAATTTGAGACAACTGCTCTCAATTTTTCGAAAGTGTTGTGAGAGACATAGCTAAAGGAAACAAAACCCGAGAAGGGGGGCGATTATTTTAGACCTTTTTTGGGATGCACAAGCTGACAATGACCAGCTACCACGAAGACAGACTACAACCCTCAAAAAAGTCCACCCCTGACAATTGATGGAACCGAAAAACCTATCCACACCCCATCTAAGCAAGGCAGTACTGCATCTAATTGAATTTTTTTAAAGTTTTTCTCGAAACTTCTTGCATTTTTATTTTCTATTTAAAAAATTAAACTCGGTGGGAATTATTAGTTTAATATGTTTATTATGCACCCCCCAACCCACCCGGGCGGTGTCATACCCATCCTGTGGGGGGTAGTTATCCCTCTGTGGGGTGTCAGAAATTTCAGAGGGACTAATGGGTCCAGGGACTGGGCCCCCAAATTTTTGAAGCTGAACTTTTACAAAAAGGGAATGAACTCCCGGGGGGATTGGTCACAATCTGACAAGTTCGAAGGTTTTTTTACAGATTACAGAGGTACATAATGGGTCCAGGGGCGGGGCCCCCCACACTGTTTTACTATGGAAAACTGTAAGTATTTCCCTTGAAGAAATATAAAAAAGGTTTGTTTTATGATACCCATCCATCGCCCGTCAATGTGGGGGAGATAAATACGTTAAAACTTTTATCATTCACTTATTATTTAGACCTTTTGAGGCTAAAAGATTTAACTTATGACTTATTTAATTAAAGCAAGAAAGTGTTGTAATAATACCCCCATTAGTATTGTGGGCGGCAATTGAGCTGAGGGTTATAACTAAAATCTTTTTGGGTTTAGCATCACTTTATAAATTAAACGGGGGTTGATATGTACCCCATGATCCTTATCAACATGGTTAAGTTTATAAGTATTTTTCAGTTTTTTTGGGTATGAATGAATGAAGTACCCCCAAAACCTATCAGTCACTGAAAAAGAATGAAAACAAAATAGATGGCCTTTTATTCCCCATCTCCGTTAAGGATTTACACTACATGTTTTAAAAGGGAATGGAATGTTTTTCGGGAACACAGATACTGTGTCCTGGTATCAGAGCAAACTTTTTAAAAAGGGAATTCTTCTCTAAAAGACAAGATTGAGTGTTTCTCTTGGATTTTTACTTCCCTAAATACGTTCCACGTTCATATGTCCAAGGATGAACAAAAAAAACTCATTTAACTCTCGTCACTGTCACGACGTAAAAAGAAAAAAAAACCCTTTTTGACAAAAGTGACATTTCAGTAACCTCATTCATTAGGGGCCATTTAAAATATGTATCCCAGCTAAGTTTACTTTTCATTTATAAAATAGAATCATTCAGAGAAGTGAATATGTAATAACATTACAGTGTTGACGGACACGAGGATTGTGGCTCAATGTGTGCTCTTCTTAATCGCTGGCTACGACACCACTGCTTCAACACTCACCTTCTCGTCTTTCCTTCTGGCCAAGAACCCTGTACACCAGCAGCGTCTCCGCCAGGAGGTGCAGCACATGGTTCAGGAACATGGCGCTGTTACCTACCAGGGCATCATGGAAGCAAAATTTCTCGATGCTTGTATCATGGGTGAGAAGATCCTGGAGGTGTTCAGTTATTTATTGCAACAATGTTTTATTTTCTGTGAATATTCTCATAGCTAACCATACTTATATTTTGTGAAGTTGTTTCCAGAATAAAAGAGTAGCTGGATTTTCTCCTGTAGAAAAGTAAGAAGGAAAAATATTAACCACGAAATTGTACAGAAATAAAGATGAAAGTTTAGACACGAAGTGCAACTGGATGGATGGATGGCGAAACGTCTACAATAAAGATATCCAGATGTTGCACTTGTGTCTAAACTTTCATATTTTCGGTATTTTATACCTTTCTTATACAGAAATGAAGATGAAATGATAACCAGCACAAACAACACCTAAACTGAGGTAAGAAGTTGACGAGGTTGGAACCTCAACTGGTGACAGACAACTGAACCCCCTCTTTAAGTACTTTAGTTACACAGGGAGGCTGGAGCATCTTTCCTGCTTACACCAACATCTCTGAGAGAAAATGATATTCTTAACTTTTCCTAAGTTGAGTGCTGAATCAAGTCAACACGTTAAGAAAAACCTGATGCCGATACAAAAGAAAAAAAAGAGAGGCTAAACTCTCATATAGAGAAAAATGTATCAGACCAGGGGTGACTAACCTTTTGCATTCCACACGCCAACTTTTCCACGCTCTAGTAAGACACTTGTCCCCCACTTAGTTCTTAAAAATATGGTAATATTAACATAGTATTTTTACATAAAATTATTTAATAAAAAGACAAGATAAACATTAATAAGACTTTTTGAGTGTGCTTTGATTGTGTCAGACAGAGCATTATTATTATTATAATCAAGGGGGAAGCGCTAAACCCGGAGGATTATACAGCGCCTGGGGGGGGATGTGGAAGGCATTCAGGCTTAATTCGGGGAACTGGAGCACAGATCCAATTCCCTAAATCAAGAGCCCCTCACCAACATCAAGGAACCTTCCTTGAGGGGATCAGACAGAGCAGCAGAGAATTTTTCAAATCTGAAACAGTCGCTACCTCAGTTTGTTCGTGGATAAAAGTGATTGTTGGCATCTGTAGGTTGTTTTAAAGCGACAGATATAACTGTGTATGAGTGTGTGTAAGGGTGTAGGTGTACTCACCTATTTGTACTCACCTATTTGTGGTTGCAGGGGTCGATTCACAGCTCCTGGCCCCGCCTCTTCGCTGAATGCTACTAGGTCCTCTCTCCCTGCCCCATGAGCTCTATCATACCTCGCCTTAAAACTATGTATGGTTCCTGCCTCCACTACATCACTTTCTAGGCTATTCCATGGCCTGACTACTCTATGACTGAAGAAATACTTCCTAACATCCCTTTGATTCATCTGAGTCTTCAACTTCCAATTGTGACCTCTTGTGTCTGTGTCCCATCTCTGGAACATCCCGTCTTTGTCCACCTCGTCTATTCTGCGCAGTATTTTATATGTCGTTATCATGTCTCCCTTGACCCTCCTAGCCTCCAGTGTTGTCAGGCCGATTTCCCTCAACCTGTGTGTGTGTATGTGTAAATGAGTGTAACTGTGTGTACTCACCTATTTGTACTCGCCTATTTGTGGTTGCTGGGTCGATACTCAGCTCCTGGACCCGCTCTTCACTGATCGGTACTAGGTCCTCTCTCCCCCTGCTCCATGAGCTTTATCATATCTCGGCTTAAAGCTGTGTATGGTTCCTGTGTGTGTACTCACCTAATTGTGGTTGCAGGGGCCGAGACTCAGCTCCTGGACCCGCCTCTTCACTGACCGCTACTGGGTCCTCCTCCTCTCTGCTCCATGAGCTTTATCATACCTCGTCTTAAAACTATGTATGGCTCCTCCCTCCACTACATCGCTTGCCAGACTATTCCACTTCCTAACAACTCTGTCGCTGAATAAATACTTTCTAATACCCCTTTCCCTCATCCGAGTTTTCAGTTTCCCAAATTTGTGCCCCCCTTGTTTCTGTGTCCCGTACTGGAAATCCTATCCCTGTCTCCTTATCATTCCCCCGGGGTATTTTGTATGCTGTTATATATCCCCCGACCCCCTGTCCTCCAGTGTCGTCAGACAGTTTCCCCTTCCTTTCCGTAGGACTTTCCCCTGGCCCCGGGAACTAGCCTTGTTGAAAACCTTTGAAATTTTCTCAATTTTCTTGACGGTTTGACCAGGTGTGGTTCCAAACTGGTGCTGTTACTCCTAGGGGCCTGACGTACACAGTGTATAGTTTTTTGAACATTCCTTTACTGAGGTATCAGAAAATCTTTCGGGTTTTGCCAGACCCCCCTATGCAGCAGCATTTTAAGGTTAAGTGTGTTTCCGGCAAACGCGTTGGGTATTTACTACCCCTAGATTTTTCTCCTTGAGTGAGGTTTGTATCTTTGGCCCCTAACCTAACTCTGTCTGGGGTCTTCTTTCCCCTTTTCCGATTTCAGACTTTGCTTTTTGGGGGGTTTAAAATTTCTAGGAGCCAGTTGCTGGACCTGGTGTCCGCCTGTTCGCAACGTAGGCCTGCCGATCCGTATCTTTTTTTAATTTTCCCCTCAATTTTCACATCATCTGCAAACGGGGAAACTTCTGATTCCCCCCTTTCTGTCTGTCTTTTCACGTAAACCAGGAAAACACTGGTCCCTGCACTGCCCCTTTTTGGGACCCCGCTCGTACAGGCTCCCCTTGATACCTCATAACGTACCATGACTGCACGGTCCTCTCTTTTCCCTGCTCCATGAGCTTTATCATACCTTGTCTTAAAACTATGTAGGGTTTTCCTGCCCCCACTAAGCACTTTCAGACTTTTCCATTTCCCTGACAACTCTGAAAAAATAATCCTACATACCTTTGATATGTGGGAAAGTCTTCAACTTCAAATTTACTCATTGTTTCTGTGTCCCACTGTCCTGTCTTTGTCCACCTTCTCAATTCCTCGGAGTCTTTTATATGTCGTTGTCATGTCCCCCCTAACCCCCTGTTCTCCAGTGTCTTCACCGATTTCCCTTTAACCTTTCTTCATAGGACAAATCCCCTTGCTCGGGGGCCAGTCTTGTTGAAAAACCTTTCCGTTTTTCTCTAATTTCCTAAAGTCCTGCTTACCAGGTGTGGTTCCAAACAGGTGCTGCATCCCCCCGAAGGGCCTGACGAAACCGGTTACAGATCTTGAAGATTCCTTACTCAGGTATCGGAAAACTGTTTTTGGGTTTTTCCCAGCGCCCGTATGTACAGCAGTTATCTGGTTGATTTGCACCAGAAGATGTGCTCGGTATTATACCCCCCCAAGATCTTTTTCCCTTGAGGAAGTTTGCAGTCTTTGGCCCCTAACTTCCTGTTGAGGTCTATCCACCCGTCTCTCTCTGCCTTATTTCCCATTACCTTGTCAAAAAATTTCCCCAGGGGGTTTTTTGGGACAAAAATTTTTCCCTTTCCCTCAAACCGTGCTGGTTGTTTTTATAAGCTTGTTTTTTTCCGGGTGTTCCACCATTTCCCCCTGAAATCTTCTCCAGACTTTGCTACCAACACTTTCAGTACACCATCTTAGTTTAATACCCCGTGTCTGTCTCCTTTCTAAAAATTGGGGGGGTACATTTGCCATCTTTTATACCCAGGTGTTGCCCGATTTTAATGATGTTTGAACATTTTTGTTTTGGGGACACACTGCATCTCTGCTCCCTCTCTAAGGGCCCATGGGGAAGATGTCCTTTCCCCAAATCTTTAGGTATCTATTTCACTAGCACTTTTTCACCTCCTCCTCGGGTTAGTGTATTTCATCCAGCCCCGTATGTTATCCCCTTTTTTGGTTACCTCCCTATTTGATTTCCAGAACCCCCGTCTTCACTGTAAAATTTTTTTTAAATCTCATGTTGAGCTCCCACTTCTTGGTTTCTTGTGACTTCTCACTTCCTTCTTTAGCTGATTACCTATCCTTGGCTGTTTTGTTCCTCCTGATGTGGCTGTACACACTTCGGGTCGACTTGACTTTTGATGCATGTCGTTTTCGCATTGTCTCTGAACTCCCTTTTTTCTGTGCATATTCCCTTTTTTTGGGTCTTCAGCTAATTATTTTCTTGGTCCTTTGTACTTTTTCCCCTTCTCTAGTGCACTTTTTTTTTGCCTCCCTATACTTTTGGGTGACAAAGGGCTCGTTCTGGTTTCCATTATTTTTGTTTTCCCTTTTGGAACAAACCTCTCCTCTGCCCCTTTCATTTTGTTTTCACTAGTCCATTTCTTTTATGGTCTTCCTGCCATTCTCGCTCCCCCTGAACGTTTTCCCGAAGTTTTTCATCCTTTTTAACCATCCCCTTTACCCCTTTTTTAGTTTGGTTTTCCCTTCCTGTTCAGCTACCCGTCCCTTGTAGCTCAATATGTAAACAAAGCACAGAAAAAATGAACACTACTCCAAGGGGGCCCTTTTATACATGATATCCTTGTATTAGATAAAATGAAATTCAGAGACCACTGCAAAAAGATTAAAGCAAAAGACAGGATATTGCAGCATAATGAATTCCAAAGGGTGAGGGAAAAATTTCAGAGACTTAAAAAAGAGCAAAGGCAAAGCACTATTGCCCAAAAAAATTTAAGAGTTAAGTTAAACCCCCAAAAAATCTGGCAAAAACAAAACAGTTGGGGGATACCATAAGCCATATTAGGTCTAACAAGTACTATTATCGATAAAGGGTATCCACGAAAAATCTAAGGGGGCAAATTGCTTTTAATTTTTCCCCTTCTACACATCTGTTGCATCAACACTAGTAAGTAAAAACCAGCTGCTCAAAATACCTTTTAAAACAGACCTATAAGTTTCAACTACTATACCATTAGGGTAACCCCAAACAGTTTCAAATAGTAAGTGTATCCATGACTTTATTCAAAAAGAACAAGAGGTTAAAAAAATAAAAAAGGGGCCCCCCCCCCGGATAACATCCCCTCTAATTCCTAAAAGATAGTCTTCTGAATTGCAATCCCTATTGCTCACATAAAAAATCTATCATCACCATTAATACCGATCAGATGGGTTCAAGGAGGCCAGAGTTACTCCTATCTTCAAGAAAAAAGTGGCTGAGTCACAACTATAGGCCTGTTTGTATTCCCCTATAATATCCAAAAACTAGAGAGGGGCCCGGGGTCTTCAAGTAGTTAAGTACCCTTTAAAGAAACATTCTCCCTAGCAACAATCGGGGGTTTTGAAAATCTTACTCAACCACACCTCCCTAATTAAAACCGAGGTTACCTAAACTGAAATGTCAAAAAGGAACCTCATAGATATGGTAAACCCAACCTCAAAAAAGGCCTTCGATACTGCAACCACAATAATTATTAAAAACTTCAAGATACGTTATAGGTCGTAACTGGTTTTAAATCCAACCCTTTGCAAAAGGGGACAAATTGTCAAAATAAAAAAGGAATAAAACCCCTGCCATAGCATGTGGAGTTTTCCCAAGAAGTATCTGAGTCCCTTTTTATTCTTATTTATGTCAATGACAGCCTATCATTTTCAAGTGCAAACTCCTACGTATGCAGTGACAGTGCTCGTTAGGTTTAGGTAAAGACCCACAAGATATTGCAATGTTTTAACATGGAATGGAGTCCTGCAGCAAATGGGTTTTAGACAACAAACTATCATTACACCCAGGGAAAACGAAGCCCTTCTCTTTGGGACGAAAAAATAAATTGAAAGGGGAATAATTTTTTAAAGTTCGTGTAATGGGGGGCCCATCACTTCGTTTCCCCAGTAAAATATCGGGAATCCCCTTTGACCCTGCCCTGTCAGGAGAATTGATAGGGAAACATGTATTTAAAAAAAGCGAATGCCCCCATGAAGTTCCTGACAGACAAGCACAGTGTCTACCTACTGAGGCTCGCAGGACCCTATGTCTAGCCCTTATACAATGCCATATGGATTACGCTTGCTCTTCATGGTACTCTGCCTTGACCCAAAAAAAATGAAAGATAGACTGGAAATCACCCAGAACAAAATCGTAAGATTCATCCTGGGGTTGGGACCAAGAGAACATGTAGGCCAGAATGAATTACAGCAGTTGGATATGCTGAATGTTGAAGACAGAGTAAAACAACTGAAGCTAAATCATGTATATAAAATAACTCACAGTGCCCAGAATATCTTGCTGACAATTTTGTCAAGGTTGGGAACCTCAGCAATCATAGTACTAGGGGGAGAGAGCACAACTTTGTAGTACCCACAGTCATTGGCTAGGCTTCAAAAACCTTTTATTGTACAGCAATAAAGGAATGGAACAGACTGCCCGCACATGTCAAAGCCAGACAGCATGAACCAGATCAAGAAGAGTGCCAAAAGGTGTCTGATGAATGTAGCTACAGAAAGGGAGGGGAATGATTTTCTATTTTTTAGCTAACATACGTGTAAATTTTACCATATTCCTAGTAATGACCCTCGTATTGTAGATAGTCTTAATGACCTTGGTGTAGTAGATAGTCTTTTTAGTATGATAATAAGATGTTATCTTCATTATAGAATAATAAGAAAATTTTTTAACCTTTATATTATAATAATAAGGTAAAAGGACCCCAATGGAAATAAGGCACTGTCTGACTTTTTTGGGTTGTCCTAAGTTCTCTACACATATGCTGCTTTGTATGATAATTCTATGTAACTGTATTTGTGTATACCTGAATAAACTTACTTATGTCCGAATTACTCAAAGTGAATACTAGGCCCAGTCTTGCTGGATCATCCTCACCTCTCTCTCAGGTAGTGTCACTAACATGTTGATGCATGAGGCTTTCCAGTACCACATCCACCATCTTGGCTCTTCATGTTTCGGGACCTCCATGGGGCTCCAGTTTTTTCCCAGTCAATCTCCTTGTGATTGAAATCACCCATAAATAGTAACTTTGCTCTTCTCATGTGAGCTCTTCTTGCCACCTCTGCTGTGTGTGTGTAATGTTTATGTAGTACCTTTTAGTTTGTGGATGAGCATAAGTCTGCGATTGATGATTTTAATATTTTTGTTCTATTTACAGAAACTTTGAGACTGTTCCCGCCTTCATTCGTTGGTGAACGAAAATGCACCAAAACTTTCAAGTAGGTCGTACATTTACAAAAACTTTCATTTAACAGAAATTTGATTTAGCTAGCGAATTATTGCTTCCATTCCCCTAAACGTAGTTTTTTCAAGTTTATTTTTGAAACATGGGCTTTAATATGTTCTTTGTGGTAATGACAGTTTCTGAAAGCTTTCATTGCAGTAAGCTGAAATGTCATCAAGCTTATCATACCACAGGTGGGGTTAGAACCCGCGATCAGAGAGTCTTAAAACTCCAGACTGACGCCCAGTGGCTAACGCGATGGTCTGGAGTTATAAGACTCTGATCGCGGGTTCTAACCCTACGTGTAGTATGGTTTGTTTGCAATCATGTCATTATGATTTCGTGAGTCATTAAGCTTCTTACATATTAAAAATAAGTTTATTTTAACAGAATCCCTGGCACAAACGTGACTCTACATCCAGGCGACTACTTAACTATCCCATTCTGGAGTTTACATCACGACCCTCGTTACTGGCCAGATCCAGAAGCATTTCTACCAGATCGTTTTCTGCCGGAGAACAAGGCCGATATTACCAACTTTACTCATATGCCCTTTGGAATGGGACCTAGAAATTGCATAGGTAGGTGCAACAAGAAATTGTATTTACTTCTTTCCTTAATGCTACCCAGAAGTAGCATTATTTTTAATTATGATTTTTTTTATTTAGCAATGCGATTTGCCCTGATGGAGGTCAAGGTAGCACTAGCTAAGCTGTTATTAAAAGCTGAATTACGCCTATGGAATGGTCATGAGGAACTAAAACTGGAATGGTCTCCTTTCCTGCTGAGACCAGGAGGCGTCAATCTCGTTATCTCGCCTCTTGCAGAAAGTACACAAGGCTAAAGATCCAGCACAAAGTCTCATATACTAGTGAGGTCTTATTTTTTCAGGTATATAATGACCAGTTGGTATTGCAACCCGTGAATGTGTCACAATGTATATAATGTATATTACCTGTTCATATAATTTTATATTGCTTATATTTGCAATATTAGCTATATTGTAAATATATTGCTTTATATTATTATTTGATGTAGTTATATTATTAGGTAGGATATAACATTTATATATTATTCAGTGCTCATAGTTCGAGAGTATTAAATAGCTGATAGCATTGTCTAACTACTGTAGTTTTCACCTCGCTTGTTTTGCTGCCGGCTTCTGAGTTGCTGGGCAGCAGCAGTCAGAGGAGAGTCACATAAACAGGGTGGGGCGATCACACCTCACCTGGAGAGAGTCTAGCTGGCCTGTGCAAGCTCTTGTCTGTTGGACGTGCTTCTAACAAGAGGTCCCTCTCCAGCTCTCCATTTCTGGCCCTTTTTGGAAGATCGTCTCTGTCGCTTTCTTGTTGTTGGTTCTGTGTAACTCTGTTCACAGAACATAGCCTAGACTTAGTGATTTTCGATGTTGCACTGAGGTTGCGTGTCACATAGACACTGAGAAACTCGAGTCCTGAGCTGTAGCTTCTTACCTAATTTGTACTGGTATCTGGAGTTTACCTGGAGAGAGTTCCGGGGGTCAACGCCCCCGCGGCCCGGTCTGTGATCAGGCCTCCTGGTGGATCAGAGCCTGATCAACCAGGCTGTTACTGCTGGCTGCACGCAATCCAATGAACTAGCCACAGCCCGGCAGGTCAGGTACCGACTTTAGGTGTTTGTCCAGTGCCAGTTTGAAGACTGGCAGGGGTCTATTGGTAATCCCCCTTAGGTATGCTGGAAGGCAGTTGAATAGTCTCGGGCCCCTGACACTTATTGTATGGTCTCTTAACGTGCTAGTGACACCCCTGCTTTTCATTGGGGGGATGTTGCATCGTCTGCCAAGTCTTTTGCTTTCGTTGTGAGTGATTTTCGTGTGCAAGTTCGGTACTAGTCCCTCTAGGATTTTCTAGGTGTACTTAATCATGTATCTCTCCCGCCTGCATTCCAGGGAATACAGGTTCAGGAACTTCAAGCGCTCCCAGTAATTGAGATGTTCTATCTCCGTTATGCGCGCTGTGAAGGTTCCCTGTACATTTTCTAGGTCAGCAATTTCACCTGCCTTGAAAGGTGCTGTTAGTGAGCAGCAATATTCCAGCTTAGATAGAACAAGCGACCTGAAGAGTGTCATCATGGGCTTGGCATCCCTAGTTTTGAAGGTTTTCATTATCCATTCTGTCATTTTTCTAGCAGCTGCAATTTATATAATGTTATGGTCCTTGAAGGTGAGATCCTCCGACATGATCACTCACAGGTCTTTGACGTTTGTTTTTCGCTCTATTTTGTGGCCGGAATTTGTTTTGTACTCTGATGAAGTTTTGATTTCCTCGTGTCTTCCATATCGGAGTAATTGAAATTTCTCATCATTGAACTTCATATTGTTTTCTGCAGCCCACTGAAAGATTTGGTTGATGTCTGCCTGGAGCCTTGCAGTGTCTGCAATGGAAGACACTGTCATGCAGATTCGGGTGTCATCTGCAAAGGAAGACACGGTGCTGTGGCTGACATCCTTGTCTATGTCAGATATGAGGATGAGAAACAAGATGGGAGCGAGTACTGTGCCTTGTGGAACTGAGTTTTTCACCGTAGCCGCCTCAGACTTTACTCTGTTGACTACTACTCTTTGTGTTCTGTTTGTGAGGAAATTATAGATCCATCTACCAACTTTTCCTCTTATTCCTTTAGCGCGCATTTTGTGCGCTATTATGCCATGGTCACACTTGTCGAAGGCTTTTGCATTCTTTTTGTCTTCTAGTGCTTCTAGGACCTTGTCGTAGTGATCAAATAGTTGAGACAGACAGGAGCGACCTGCTCTAAACCCATGTTGCCCTGGGTTGTGTAATTGATGGGTTTCTAGATGGGTGGCAATCTTGCTTCTTAGAATCCTTTCAAAGATTTTTATAATATAGAATGTTAGTGCTATCGGTCTGTAGTTCTTTGCTGTTGCTTTACTGCCCCCTTTGTGGAGTGGGGCTATGTCTGTTGTTTTTAGTAGCTGTGGAATAACCCACGTGTCCATGCTCCCTCTCCATAGGATGGTAAAAGCACGTGATAGGGGCTTCTTGCAGTTCTTGATGAACACGGAGTTCCATGAGTCTGGCCCTGGGGCAGAGTGCGTGGGCATGTCATTTATCGCCTGTTCGAAGTCATTTGGCGTCAGGATAACATCAGATAGGCTTTTGTTAACCAAATTCTGTGGCTCTCTCATAAAAAATTCATTTTGATCTTCGACTCTGTCTGGTTAGGACTGGTTGGGACTTAAGTAGCTCACTCATTTCCTTGCTGTCATCTGTGTAGGACCCATCTTGTTTAAGTAGTGGCCCAATACTGGACATTGTTCTCGACTTTGATTTGGCATAGGAAAAGAAATACTTTGGGTTTCTTTCGATTTCATTTATGGCTTTTAGTTCGTTCTGTGATTCCTGACTCCTATAAGATTCCTTTAGCTTAAGTTCGATGTTTCCTATATCTCTGACCAGTGACTTCCTACGCATTTCAGATATATTGGCCTCTTTTAGCCGCTCTGTTATTCTTTTTCGTCGCATGTAAAGGGAGCGCCTCTCTCTTTCTATTTTACATCTACTCCTCCTTTTTCTTAAAGGAATAAGCCTTGAGTATACATCGAGTGCCACCGAGTTAATCTCTTCTTGGCATAAGTTGGGGTCTGTGTTGCTTAGTCTATCTTCCAAGCTTATATCGGTTAGGACTTGGTTTACTTGGTCCCTCTTTATGTTCTTATTATTGAAGTTGAATTTGGTGAAGGCTCCCTCATGACTAATCTCATTATGTCGGTCTGGAGATCCGCGCATACATGTCTGAACCTCGATAACGTTGTGATCTGAATATATTGTTTTTGATATGGTGACATTTCGTATCAGATCATCATTGTTAGTGAAGATGAGGTCTAGTGTATTCTCCAGTCTAGTAGGCTCTATTATTTGCTGGTTTAAGTTGAATTTTGTGCAGAGATTTAAAAGCTCGTGTGTGTGTGAATTCTCGTAAGAGCTGCCTCCTGGAGTTATCTCTGCAACAACATTATTCGCTATATTCCTCCATTTATGTGCCTTAAGTTGAAATCCCCCAGGAGCAAGATGTTGGGGGCAGGAGGTGGCAGATTTTTCCAGACAGTGGAAAATTTTTAACAGCTGTTCCTGGAATTGCTGAGACGTTGCATCCGGAGGATTGTAGACTACCAAAATGACTAGGTTTTGGTTCTCGATCTTTGCTGCTAAAACTTCCACTACATCATCTGAGGCATTAAGGAGTTCTGTGCAAATAAGTGACTCTGCGATATACAGGCCAAACCCCCAACCCACCTTTTGCCTGTTCACTCTGTCGCATCTGCATAGGTTGTAACCTATGATCCATATTTCGTTGTCCAAGTGATCCTTCATGTGGGTCTCTGTGAAAGCCGCGAACATTGCATTTGCCTCTGCAAGCAGTCCATGGATGAAAGGCATTTTGTTGTTCGTTGCTGGCCTTAGACCCTGTATATTTGCAAAGAAGAATGTCATCGGCCTGGTGGTATTGGTGGTACTGGGGGGGACACTTTTTTCCAGCATTAGTATCTTTATTTGTTAGTTTGGAGTGGATTCCATCGACTGTGGTTTCACTCCAGGAATGACTGGATTTGGTGTACGATTTCTGCCATTTCCTGCCAGTTTTTTTTTTTCTTCTTGGCACTAAAAAACCTCTGCTTCTTAAGTGGTTGTGGCTACCCAGGTTTTCCCATGGTCTGGATGTTTTGTATCTTTGTGTCCCCTTTAGATGGTGTGCCTGGCAATTTAAGTTATAGCACTGTCTTTCCTGTACTGAAGAGGGACACTTTTCAGGGGGAAAAAGCTTACAGGAAGAGAGTTTGCATTTTCCTGTTGTCATATGGGCACGGCATTTTCTAGGGTGGTCAAAGTTGCCCGTCCCATATGTTTTTCCAGATTTCCCATGCCTACAGATACCAAGCGCATAGTATGTGCACAGGCTTGGTTTCCGTTTGCCTTGGGTTTCTGTGGCTGTATTCCCTGTTGGTGCATGTTTACCTGTGTCTTTTCTATCCTCACTAGAGCTGTATAGCCCTTGTGGCTTAGCGCTTCTTTTTTATTATAATAATAATATCCTCACTAGCACTAACAATGGGGCTCTCATCAGTTGTTTTTGGTAATGTATCCTCGCTAATGCTAGTGGAGTCCCCTTGTTCACTATCTCCTGTGGTATTACTAGTTTGTAATATTGGTTTATGTTGTCTTTGACTACACTTGTTTTCTCACGACAGCTTCTGTCTCCCTCGGGGTCATTTATATGCATTCCCTCCTGCGTACATTTACTGACTACTTGGACAGCACCTTCATCCTCACCATTACTGTCTTCCAGGACAGCACCTCCAGCTTCACCATTACTGTCTACCAGGGCATCGTTATCAGCCCTACATTTACTGACTACCGGGGCAGCACCTCCAGCCTTACAGTTTCTTACTACATGGCCAGCATCAAGGGTCTTACCATCCAGCCCAGACTTTTTATTTTCCCATCTGTTATAGAATGCTTCCAGGTTTTCTATGAAGACTGCTTTGATGTTATCCGCTTTTAATACCAATGTGATTTTAGTCCACAGATTGATCTCATTTGTGCATACCCAAAAACACTTCCCTGATTTAATACTGCTTGTTGATAGTTCTTGGATATCTGCACAAGGGGCATGACGCCAATTTTCACAAAAATGGCAATCTATTCATGCGGAATCCTATTTGTTTGATGTACTGCAGACTACACAGAGCTTCATAATGATTTGAATGGTTGATTTACTGTAATTCTACTAGTAACTTCTTGAATATTCTACTAATTACCTCAAAGTGAAACTCTAGCTATTTGTATTTCTATTTC